CCCCCCCTCCCCCCAATCTCCTACTTGTGTTTTACCGTTTTTAATTTCTTTCCCACTTCTGCAATGGACATTGTCTCTGTTAGGGGCCGCTGTTTGTACCATGCTGGAAATAGACGCAGGTCTCTATCTAGTTCTGACGTGTGTTGGCTGTAAGGCTGGTAGGGCCGGAAAACAGGCATTTCTGCATTCCTCTATACATTTAAATTATATTGCTGGCCCTCCTTGACTTGGGTATTTATGGACTAGCTTGTCTGAGTATGATATTTTAAAACTTTTGAGTGGGGAATGAGCTGCTTCAGCCGTATCCTTTTTTATTTGTTCCGACGTCATGAATGCAATTCATCAAGTGATCAGCCGCGAGTGTTGTCATTGAAGACAGCACTTGACAGAGTTCATTTGGGCTCACAGGCGGCAAATGACTTCCTTTCATGCGACCGCCCTCCTCAGCCAGATAATCATCGTGGCTTGGAAGGACGCCTTTGTCGTGGCTTTACCGCTGGAGCAAAAGATGGTTCATACGACATTCATAGACGCCGGCCGACCCCAACCCTGTAGTTTTTGTTCTGTGCCTGTTTATGTCGTGCATGGCCGCCATTTGTGTACACAATATCCCAGCGAGGGGTCGGCGTGCTGTCGTTTGGAAGGTAACAGTTGTCGTCATGGGCGAAAAGGGAAGGTGCTTCACCAATCTGTTCATGGACACACGCGGCATTCACCACCGGGCGCTCTCCCCTCAATAGCCCGCGGAGGCCTGGGCGTGATATGGCCAGCATGACGGGGCTTTGCAGTTCGTTTCTCAGTCGGAGGAATTTTCACTCACCCAAACCTGGAGTCGTCCGGGTTGGAGATTGTGCCTGGCTTCCGCTCCCTGCTAAGCTTACCCATTTTACGACTGCTGTAAAACGTTCGGGGGGCCACGTAGCTGGGCTGAGGGGCGACCGAGCTCGTGTCGATGTACGCTGGTCTTTTCTGATACGCCTGGTGGGCTGATAGGGCCGAGAGAGCCGTCCATGCGTTGGTGTTGCGATATTTCTAACTAAAGGTCAGCGTCGTCGTTTGCTGGATTTTTACAGCGATAGCTCCACTTGGTGTAAATGCCCCTCGGCCAGTACAGGCTCTGCTTCTGTTAAAGTTTTACGGTCTCTTTTATAGCTGGGGATTCTCTAACGTTTGTTTCTTTTCCTTTTCTACTCCACACTAGCCTGCAGTCTTGGTTGAACTTTTATTTATTTATTTTGGCCAATTTTCTCGTTTCCCGGGCTGGTGTAGTGAGAGCTTTCCTGGCTCTTATCGATCATACAGCACCGTCGACAGTTGCCAGGTTCGCCAGACATTTTTTTCTTTTTGGGT